GCGTGCAGTGCACATGCAATGCAGGCGCCAAGCTTGCACCGTGCCCGTGCAATGTGTGCGCAGTGCACTTGCGATCCGCGTGCAGTGCACATGCAGTGCAGGCGCCAAGCTTGCACCGTGCCCGTGCAATGTGTGCGCAGTGCACATGCGGTCTGTGTGCAGTGCACGTGCAGTGCAGGTGCCAAGCTTGCCCCGTGCCCATGCAAGACCAAGGCCCGTGGCTCTGTGGCCAGGCCAGGGCTCGGGGCAGCAGAGCCGCCACGGGACGCGTCTTAAGCAGCATTGGTTCCCCCAGCCGGTTCTGCACCCCCCGCACTGGGCCCCGTGGGGCAGCCCATCGTGGTGGGGGCACAGCCTGCCCCCCCCGCCACCCCCCATCCTCGCCCGTGTCCCCGCTCGCCCGTGCCGCGCCGGGGAGCCCCGTGCACACGCACTCGCACTCACACCACGCGCCCCACGGCCCGTGTCCGTGTCACCCGGCCAGCACCCCGGGGTGGCGGCGAGGGGCAGGGGGCCGGGCCGGGCGCCCCCCCCCGGGCCCCCAGCACATACCTCAAGGCTCCCGGAGCCGCCCGTGCCCGGCGGCCCCGCGCCGGGGGGGCCCTTCTATGCATCGCGCCCCGGCGCGCGGGAGCCCTGAATGTAGGCGGGGGGGCGGGGGGGGCCGTGGGGGGGGCCGGGCGCGCGGCGCTGCTGATCTCCGTGACAATCACAAGTCTGTGACGTGCGATTTTAAACCCTTTTGTGTTTTGGTCAGGATTTTAAAGAAAGATATTTTTATGGTAATTGTTGCTGGTCTATTTTACTATATATTTATGTAATAAATATATGATGAAAAAAAAAAACAACAGAAACCCCAACAACACCCCCTTTGCGCGGCTCGGCCGCCCTCTGGCCTCCGCGTTGTGCTGCCGGCCGAGCCGCAGCGGGGCCCAGGCGTCCGGGGGGCTCAGGGGGGCCCCGGGGCGCGGGCGCTACTGGGGCTCGATGCGGAACGAGAGCAGCTTCTCGGAATGGAGGTTGTTGAGGGTGCGCAGGTCGGGCAGCTTGAGCAGCAGCTTGGTGAAACGCGACGTCTCGGCCGGGTGCGTCTTGAGCACGAGCGCGCGCAGCGCGCGGATCAGCGTCTCCTGCAGCTGCTCCACCGACGCCGCGTCCTCCATGCCCGAGCGGTCTGCGGGGATGGCGCTGTCAGCGCGGTGGCCCCCCCCCAGCCCCGTGTCCCCCTCCTCGTCGCGCCGTCCCACCTGCGGAGACGAGCACGACGGCGGTGAAGAGCCCCAGCTCCTCGTCGCTGAGCTGCAGCGCGCTGAGCTTCTCGCTGAACTCGAACATGGAGCTGAGCAGGTCGCCCATGCCCATGCCCCAGAGCTCCTCCAGGCTGTACTTGGTGCGGCTCATGAACGTCACCGTCTGCTCCTTCACGTTGAACAGCGAGGCGAAGCGCACCATGAGCACCTGCGGGCACCGAGGCGTCAGCGCCCGGCAGCCGTGCCGAGCGGCACCGTGCCGGGCTGCAGCGGGCAGTGCTGCAGCGGGCTGCGCTGCACTGTGCCGGGCTGCGAGGTGCTGGCCCATGTTGTGTCCTGCTGCACCGTGCCATGCCCTGGTGCACCGTGCTGGGCTATATCGTGCTGTGCCAAGCAGCAACATGCCAGGCTGCAGTGTGCTTTGACCCAGTGCACCATGCTGGGCTATGCTGTGCCATGCCGCACCGTGCCAGACTGTGGTGCCCCACGCTGTGCTGCACCGTGCTGGGCAATGCAGCATCTGGGTGCATTGCGCTGCGCCGTGCGATGGTGCCAATGCTGCATCGAGACGCGTGGCGCTGCCCCGTGCAGTGGGGCACTGCGCCGTGCTGCCCTGTGCCGGGCTGCCCTGTGCAATGCGGGGCTGCAATGCTCTACGCGATGCCCACCACCCGCCCCAGCACCCCAGCTGCCCCCCAGCCCTACCTCAAAGGTGCCAGCCTTGAGCAGGGTGACCTGGTCGTGCTGGGAGAGGGCCTGGAAGCCGGGAATGTGCTTGGCGAACTCCACCACCTCGCGCACGGCCGGCGTGAAGCTCAGGGAGAAATCCTCCCAGATCTCCTGCACGGAGCGCCCGCTGCGCCCGCCCGGCTGCGTGTTCATGGGGCAGGCCTG